TTCCAGACAGTATTTTTATATTATGAATTGCAGCCTTTTTTTTCCCATCTCTTCATTTGTGTTTGTGCACATATGTGAAAGAATCAATGAAAGAACGAACAGGAAAGGATACTATTTGGCGATTTCTGTTTTATGATGGGGAAGTTGCCTTGGATAACGAAGACAGAAATCTTAAAAAAAAATTTAAGTTTTAGTTCATACTCACAAACAAGTTTTGATGAGAGTTAGGGTAGACTGAAAATCCTTGGTTCACAGAGCTAGACATGAACTCAGTGCAGACGCCTAAGAGGAAAGAAATGGCCATATCCTACAAAACATGACTCAGCCACGATGCCTTGGCCTCTTGATAGCCAAATTGCTTTCTAGGCAGAGGTCCAGAGAAGCTAAGTCTGGCAAGCGAATCCTAACATACATTATGGGGAGCCTAAACGAAAAGCATGGTTAAAAAAGAAACCACTTACTCAGAAAAAAACCAAGGTGTAAACTTGACATCTTCCTACACACGGTAATGTAAATCCAAATTTTGCATAAATACAGAGGATCAGTCTCTTTAAAGCAATCGGGTTATTGAAGTGAATTCACCCAAATTTACCCCCAAAAAAAGGGTTTGCAGTGTGGCCCAGGGTACTTAGTTTCTTTGGGACACTAGCCTGTGTTTTTATTCACATTGAGAGGGAAAGTAACATAACTTGACAAACCTAATTCTAGTTGCTGAAATAGATTATTCCCTTTATCCAGATGATGTAGTGTTTTGTTGCCATCAGGCATTCACCCACGAGCAAAATGCAAATATGTGTGTGAGTAGGCTGCGGGTAGACATCCTCTCTAGACGTCCTCTCCCAGATCCAGCCGTGCCAATGAAAGAGGTTACTGACTCCCACAGCTCGTCACCCTCCTCCTGCTGCAGACTGTCAGTGCACAGATCCACAGGAGCAGTTGTTCATGCTCCTTAATTTGCTTTGGCTGAAAAGCAGCCTGATTAACTTAGCCCGACGTCTCTAAGCTACCTCAGCTGGCCTTGCTTGTCTTGGTCTGATCTAGGGAGCACTGGTATGAGTTGATCCGTTGGCACCTTGGTGAGATGCTGATGGCTGAAGAAGGAAACACTGGCAAACAAGTGAAAGCAGCAACCTGTTCCACTGAGGCAGCTGGATAGGGAGGATGGCTATCCATGACTGCTGGCCTCTTGCATACACACAGCAGCAAAACAAAAGGCTGGCAGGAATTGATTCCTTCAGATTAATGGTCTTATAAGCCATGGAGATAGAAGTTCTATTACAGCAAAATTTAACGATAATGATGTAATCACCAGTCAAGAGCAAATGCACTGAAATAGCACATAGTGGTACTAATGAAATTCCTCAAAGCCTTATTAGCTGAAAAGATGAAAATTATTTTCATTCAGGAGGATGGGTGTCTTTAAATTATAATGTTTTCTGTATTTAATTTCCACAGCATTTTCATGGGCAAAAGCCTTAATTTTAAAATATATACGTGTATATAAAAAAATGTATCTAAAATAAATATAAGTGTACATTGCAGAGTACAAACTTTTAAAGAAAGGATGTCCTTCAGGCTTAGATGATTATATTGTTGCTGAGTTTTTGCTATACTCCAGTGGCATTTTGCTGGAATGAGATTCACCCCTGTGCAGAGGGCAAGCATAAAACCTAAGTACCATGTAAGTCCTACTTAAGTCTTAAGGACCTTGTTCTCATTCCATTGAAATAAATAGCAATATTTTCATTGTTTTTCAGTAGGGGCTGTTTCAAGGTCAACAAATGGGATCAGTCCTATAAATGCCTTTTGCTGGCCCAATTGGAATGATACTACAAGGAGCTGGATGTAAAATGCTTGGGAATGAATGTGAAGAAATCCCCTGGGATTAAAAGACTTGGTAATTCTGGACACTTTGCTAAAGGTAAATACCGGAACAAAAAAAAATTAACCTGTCTCAAAGATTCAAGGATGTTAGGTAGATTTATTCTAATCAGGAAGCTAGTCTCACTCAAATATGACTTGAGGAGTTGTGCGCGTACTTCTGCTGTATTCTCTGTAATTTAATGCACAATACTGAAAAATGCAGTAAAACCTATTTAAAGCATTTTTATTTCTTCAGTAGTAGGGTAATTTTGGATACTTTAGAGTCCTAAAATATCATGTTCTCTGCTGTGGCAGCATTAACATGTGTGGTTTTCTGCTGTATCATCTACCCTTGCTAGGTAACAAGAAGACATCAATCTATGCATCTAAACAGAGTCTGCATAGAAATTCGTTTATATTTCATAAGTTCTAAGTGCTTCACAGCTGATTTCCCATTACAGATGAGAGATCTTTAGGTAAGACCAGGTTCACAATACAAGGCAACGGAGAACTCTGTGCTCAGACTTTGTGCATCTTACAGGGACTTTGTGCCTTACAGGGCATTGCAACGTATTTCACTTTCAATCTTGTATAGGGAAATAAATATGTATCGGACTCCCACAAAAATAACCTTGCACCCAACTGTTAGCTTTGCAAATGTAAAAGTACCGTGTGCGTGCTTGGTAAGTGATTTTCAAAGATTCTGACCTTCCATAAATGAAACCCAGATTCCTCAGAACTAAGCAGAGGCAGAAGGCTGGGCCTATGGCACATGTTTCCTTTTAAACTTGCCCATCTCAGCAGCAGGCCAACTCAAAGAAAGCATACAATAATAGATTTTAATACAATAGGAAAAAAAAAATTGGGTTTCCCTTTTTTAACTATTCCATATGAAAAGCAGATTATTTGCCCTCTTGACAAAATTAAAATATCAGTAACTTCAGAGACCTTCCCATACCTGAAGGGAGTCTACAATAAAAAGGGAAAGGGACTTTTTATAAGCCCATGTAGTGACAGGACAACGGGGAATGGCTTCAAACTGAAAGAGAGTAGGTTTAGATTAGATATTAGGAAGAAATTCTTTACTATGGGGGTGGTGAGGCACTGGAATTGAGAAGTTGTGGATGCTCCATGCCTGGAAGTGTTCAAGGCAAGGTTGGATGGAGTTCTAAGCAAGCTGGTCTGGTGAAAGGTGTCTGAAATGTGTCCCTGTCCATGATGGGACGGGGGGGGGCGTGGGGTGGGGGTGGGTGGATCTAGATGGTCTTTAAGGTCGCTTTCACCCAGGCCATTCTATGATTCTATGAAGAATTTCATCCCCACATGTCCAGTGGGGAGGATTAGCCCGATAACCTTGCATTTGATGAACTCAGGGAAGAAAAATGCCAACTCCTATAGTGGAACATGAACTACTATTTTGCAGCTTCTGCGGAAGTGGGTAATGGGCCTGCAAAATAGCATGGAGATAAGTCTGTGGTCACAAATACAGCAAGCAGTGGCACAAATCAGAGGAGAATACAGCTTTTTTTTTTTTTTTTTTTTTTTTTTTTCCTCAGAGCTTTCTTGTAATGGAAAATCTACATACTAACTACATACTAGAACACAGCTTCCTTTAAGATCCAGGGCAGCAACTAACATATTTCAACCTAGTACATAGGGGAACAGTGACTGAGGCCATCATGAAAATCTCTTGCTCCAATGTAAAATAATTCTTTGTCCTTTCTGCACATGCTGAATATACAATCCTGACTCTTTCCTGATCTACCTAAGTAGTAGAGGGAAGAAATAATGTGAAGAAGTAGTTATATCCTGTTTAAATCTGATTGAAGAGACTAAGCCTTTCTGCAGCAAATAAATAAATTCCAATAACATTTAAAATACTGCAAAAATAATAAGGGTAACATGGAGTTATCCTCCAGAGATCTTTCAGGATAATTCAAATCACAGTTAAAATTCAAAGCTAACATTGACCACTTTTAATGGTGAATACATGAGATAATTGGCTCGGGATTTAAGTGATGATACAATAAAAGTTGCTCTCTCATTTTCTCCATCGATGAAATGCAAATAGTGGTATCTGCCCCTTTTCAGGAATTTTTGAAAGATCCACAAATAAGGAGCACTGCTCCAAGAACTATCACCCTTATCGACAGAGGAAATTAATTTGAAATTTTCCTCAAGGATCAATGAAAAGACAATTCAAAGGAATCAGATCATGTGTAGAGGTATTAAGCTTTAAAACTAGGACCACATGAATACAGATGAGAATCTAATTTAAGTATCAGCAGTGTTCAATATAAAAATTCACCTGCCATTGGCAACCTAAGCAAATAGCCCGTCCGTAAGCAGTGCAGACACAGACTGGCTTGGGTGACATAAAACTGTGTGCCAAGAAGGAACAAACAAACTACGGAGCAGCATGGCAGGGTCGTCACACTGCCGTGGGCCTCAGGTAGGGATAGCAACCCTACCACCATCATCCCTAATTTTGCATCCACACTTTTCACAGAATCACAAAATCGGTCAGTTTGGAAGTGGGTCACCCGCTCCAGCCTCCCTGCGCATTGCACAGACCTGCATCCAGACAATTCTTGAATATCTCCAGTGAGAAAGACTCCACAACCTCTCTGGGCAGCCTGTTCCAGGGCTCGGTCACCCGAAAAGTAAATTCAATTCTGCCTCATATTCAGGTAGAACTTCCTGTGCAACAGTTTCTACCCATTGCCTCGTGTCCCATTGCTCGGCACCACCGAAAAGAGCCTGGCTCCATCTTCTTGGCAACGCCTTCTCACGTAGCAGTGCTGGTGGCCCCGAGAACTCCTCAGCCCGGGCACCGCTGGGGTACGACCCTGCCCAGGCTTGCCTGGCTCCCGCTGCGGGTCACCTGCAACCTCAAGGAGGGGTTGTTTTGTTTTGTTTTGTTTTTTTAAATCATTATTACTTTCAACTCGGCGGACCGCTCCCTCGAGGCCGGGCAACGCACAGCCTCCCTCTCCGCCCGAGGCGCCCCCCGCGCCGCCGGCAGGCCCGCGGCCTCCGAGCCGGCGGGGGCAGGCGGGGCCGGGGCCGGGGCCGGCGCAGCGCCGGCGGCCGCAGGAAGGGGAGGGCGGCCGCCGCCATCATGCGGGCGCCGCGGGGGCTGTCGCGGCTGCTGCTGGCGGCGCGGGGGTGGGGGCGCCTGGGCGCCATGGCCCGCTACGGCACGGAGCAGCGGGGCCGGCCCAACTCGCCCGATTACCGCCTCTACTTTAGTAAGTAGCAGCCCACCCGGGCTCCGTAAAGCCCTTCCTTCCCCGTCCCGCGCGGCGCACGGAGGGGGAGAGGCGGCGGGTCCCCGCTCCCGCCGAGACACATCGGGCTCGGTGAGGTATCGCCCCTGAGCCTCCCCCTTGGCTGCAGGGAGGGAGCAGTGTTTTCCAGAGCGGGGGGCGGATCCGGTGGAGATCCCGGCTTTTGGAGGGGATGCTGGGCCTGCTCAGCCCCGGCTCTGCCGTGCCCTTCCGCAGCCCCGGAGGACGAAGGGCGCCGGGGGTGAAGCGCCGCCGTGGTGCCGTGCTGTGGCAGCCTGGGCGCGGGGGGCTGTGGCACCACCCGGGGCACAGCCGTGGGAGCCTCTGCGGTGCGACAGCCCAGCCTGTCCCTTGTGACCAAGGCAGCCGTCCCTCCCTTCCTCCAGACACGTCACCGAGACGGGAGGCTGGCATGCGAACCGTGGGGCTCCGGCCCCGAGCGGGGGTGGGGGGGAAGGCAGCGAGTGGCACAGCGAAGGCACGGGCAGCGCTCCAGGAGGCTTCTCAAGGCCCTCTGAGAGCTGGGGGTGTGCCGTGTTCGGTATTGCCCATTTTCGTAACAATGTTGTCTGCTTGTGTGCCAGTTCTCCGGCAGCGGTTTTTGAAACAGTGTTGTCTATCTGGGTGCCAAATCTCTAGCAGTGGTTTTGTACGTTTTTTTGGTCCATTGACCTACAAGCAAGTCAATTCTGACGTCCGCTGGTGTGGGAGAAGCGGAGGCGGCGCGTACCCGGTTGGCAGAGTCCTGCCAGAGCTCCCTTGTGCTCGGTCCCTGGGGCTGCCAGGGCACGAGCTCATCCAGGGAAAGTCACTTTCTTCAGTGGAAATGAACAGCTTAGCACTAAACTTTGTTTTGTTCGGTGGGAGCAGCTGGGAGGGCTTCCTGGAGTTGCAAATCAACTCCATTCACTCCTCTTTGCTGAGGTGGTCAAAGTAAAGTCCAAAGCTAAGTGACGTTCCTTCTCTGCTTTTTCCTTTACTGTGAATAGAGGTGCTAGCAGAGGAGAAATTCCTTGACGTTTGGGTTACTGTTTACACTGTTTTGATGTGATACTTGGGCTTTTAGTATGTTGAAAAAATTCAGTGGAGTAGTTTGAAAAACTTAATCATCCTCTCCAATGAATTTTGTTTCTTTCTGGAGTGGGAGCAAGGCTGAGGCACAGATTGGGCCCCCTTTAAGTTAATGTCAATTTCTGCTGGTTTCAAGGTGTGGTGTTTCATATCTAGGGCCTGAGGGATACCTCACTCTTTTGATCAGACTTTGGCCTACTATGTTGGGGGATTTTCTCTTTGTGGCCCTGAAACTCAGTTTATTAGAAATCCAGTGAAATCACACTGTTCTAGCAACATTGCTAGAAACCCAGATGAATTCATGTATTGCTGATGGACGTGAGGTTCCTTTGTTTTGATTTGGGGTTTTTTCCGCTATTAATGGTTGTTATGGCGAGTGAGGAGAAAAGAGTATGAAAGGATCTTCTCATCTTTACATAGTTTGTATTGCCAGGTAGTCAGAAGAGGAGCATAGTGTTGAATACTAAAGCAATAAATTTGATTCTAATGAATCCTTATCAAAACAACCAAATTCCTTTTCCTGTGTGTAGGTTAATTTTTAGCACCTGAAATCAAACTTTGGAAAAAGTTTAACTGATTCATAATCGTAGCATGTATACATTTCTTTATTGCATGATATTTAGCAACACCAACATCATATGGCACATCTTTAGGTTTGCAATGTTACTTCTTTTGTCTTTCAGAGAATGCAGATGGTAAATATATTTCCCCATTTCATGACATTCCACTGTTTGCTGCATCTAAAGAGGTATGTATTTATGCCTTGAATTGCAATTAATTTCAAGACTGTTGGATAATCAGTGGAGAAATGCATTGTGCCAGAAACCCAGACTGATTCCTTATGTAGTAAAGGCAGAATAACTCCACCACATTTTCTCTGCTGAGTTCAGTAACTTGCAGTGAAACGTAATGATTGCCGTGTAGGCAAGCCTAGGTGTTTCTTTAAGTCCTCAAGTGACTGAGGGCAGGAGGAACCCTCACTGTACCTTGTGATTATTCTCTGTGTTTGGGTTTGTGTTTATGTGCGCTTGAATTAATTTTCTATTGTTACTCTTTTTAAATTGGCGGTTTCCAATTAAAAGTGTACATTTCTTTGTAGTGGAAGTACAGCACAGTTGCTTGCGCAACTTACGGCGTACGTCTTTAATTCCCAGAAGGAGCGTTGTAATTGGAAGGCAACACTAATGCCCAAGAGAGAAGTGGTAATGACACCTTTGGAGAATGGCAGTGCGTGAGGTGCAGCTGAGCACTTTCACGTCTTGTTAGCCACCCTCCCTGGGGCTTCGTTACAGCAATAATGAAACGCCTGTTTTCTCTGTCACTGGTGGGAGAACTGCCAGTCTTCAGTTTAGGTTTAGGTTTGCTTGTCATGGTGTGCTTGTTACACAAACAGGTTGGGAGGGTTTTAGCCGTTTCCTTGATCTGTTGCTGAGTCTCTGTGGGTGATATGAATGGTGTGAAAGGTCAGTAGTTTTAACGTGTTCAGATGGAGACTTCTGAGCTGATGAACCAATCTTGTGAATTATTAAAATCGAGAGATTAAAAATATGAATGAAACCTTTTTGATCAACAGACCCGAGTGCTAGTCAATGGAAGAGGTAAGTCATTCAGAGTGTCATTATAAGGTGCCCTGTTCAGTGAGTGCTAGTGCTGGAAAACCAGTGGGCATTTTCATCACATGTTCCTTGTTGGCCTTGCTATCCCTGTATATAGAGTTTAGAGTTTATAGGAGTGGGCTATAGTCTGTAGTTTTTCAGTAGATTAAATTAGAGTACAGCAATATCTGATCAATGTGGAGAGACTTTCATTTTGGTATGTGAGCAGAAAAACAGCATCCCACCTGACAGAGCCTGGGGAGGGCGGACAGGGAGGAGGGGGCAAGAACGGGAGTCATTGTGGTGGTCTCCCTTAATTTTGCCTTCTTTGTAAGAGGAGGACATATAGTTGTATGTTACAGGCTTTCCACCCTGTGGTCTAAGCTTTGTGGACTTTATGATGGATAACTCCAACCTTATTTTTCATACTCGTTTTGTTTATTTGGGATTTTTTTTTGCCTTCTTCAGCTGTACAGAATGATGACTGTGTTTTTAATCAGTTGAGGACAGGCCTAAATTGCTGCTTAAGTTTCTTAGTAGTTGAGAGACAGTGGACGTATCCTTGTACATTTTTTATTTTCTTCTGTTAACATCTTGAAGGTTAATATTTCACTATGAAACAGAACTGAGTACTTTTTAAAGTTATACTTTAGGCCTTTATGCTCAAAAAGGGATGTTTCAATTGCATTGCAGACTACTGTTATCTATAGTTATGTGAATACGGTATTCCTCTCTGATGTTCTTGATACACTTTTTTACTTCACTCTTTCCCTATAGGATAAAGAAATTCCTGCAAAGAGGGCAAAGACTACTGGATCTGAGGTACTCCTAAATTTTGGGTTTGGGTTTGGGGTTTTTTTTTAACTATTTCGTCTAGTTCCTTTCCCACATCAGTTCATTACTCTGCAAAGTGAACTTGCTCTCAGTGAATAAAGTTGACATGTCTTCAAATGCAAGTCTTTCAGGAGGAGAAGGCTTAAAGAGATTTAATATTCTCCTCCTTGAATAGACCAGAAATGTCAGGATTCTTTTATTTGTCAAGATGTTCTCAAAGGCAAACACTTATACCACTCTTTCAAAGGTTTGTTGTGGCTAGTGCAGTGTAAATATGTAGATCTTTTTTACTATTGCATTCAGAAACATTTGCAATAAAACCGCCATTAATTAAATATTCATTATACTCTGTGGATAATCTTTGTTATATATACAAGAACTCCAGAAGTCCTCAGTATGTTAGGGCAGAAATTATACTAAGTATCTACTTTTCAGAATTGTTGTTTTGTATTCTCATATGAGAAGCCCAAAGGGAAAAAAATTACATCTGCTAATAGTTCAGCATTATCCAGCACTGAATTTAAGCCTAACAGAAGCCCAAAAAACATGGAAGATCTGCTCAAGCTTTTTCTGGGAAACAAGATTTGTTTATGCAAGTGTCTTTTCCAAAATGTAACATCTTGTGGTCTGCTTTGGCTGGCATAGGCTCATCTGAAAGTTACTAAAAACATGTGAAAGAAAAAAAATGAACCAAACTATGTTTTAAGGCCATGATGTGTGTATGTGTGTGGGTAGGTGTGTGTCCCAAGCTTTATCTCCTCATATCTGTTTGGCCAGTCATATTGCAAAACTGTAACTACCCATCTGATGTGAAAGAACTGCTCTAACTGTCTGGGTTCTCACAGTTTTGCAACTGGTGTGTGGTACACCGGTTCTTCTGCTGTGCAACAGTCCCCACACAATCCTGCCCTGTGTATTACCTCTCCCTTTGCTCTGTGATTCATTCAAGCTACAACGCCTAAGTAATGCCTTTTAGATTTCCTGTAGCTTGATGCCCATTCACCTACAATCCAGTAGGTGTAGAATCATGTCTGAAAGGAATTATTCAGGAGAAAGAGTATGTACCAGTTGACTTTTCTGAAAAATCATTGTCTTGCAACATCAGTTCTTATTTACTGCTCTTGCTGGAAGTCAAGTATTCTGTTTCTTACCTGCTTATAAATACTGTGACAATACCCACCAGGTGCAAATATGTTTTATGCAGCATCTAAAAATGTTCAAAACTGCATTTGTCTATGCAGTGAGAAGCACGTTAGCTTGTTGAAAACCATGTTTATAGTAGTCTGGGGAGAGGGGGGTAGAAAATGCCAGTGAGGCTGAGCAGCTCTTGCTTTCTGGGCCAGTGTAGCCTCTGGGGCTGCTTCACATAATTCCTCCTGTGAGAGAGCTCTGGACTGTGGTCTAATAGAGCTACAGAAAATGAGCAAAGGCAAAGGTACATTTCAATCTTAGTGGGTTTCTGATGCAAGTAAGCAAACAAATGCACAGAGTACAGGCTTCCCAAACATGCTTGGTCTTTACTTACATGGTAAGATGTGAGAACTCAGATCGTTTAGAAAACCGTTTTTCATTATGATCTTTGGGAGTTGGGGAGGAGAAAGAAAACAGAGGAATCTTTGTGTTCAGGAAAGCAGTTTCTTCTTACACTGGGCTCTTCAGCAGATCTCGCCTTAGCCTGGTGAGAAATGCTCTGCTTTGTGTGCTTGTATGCAGGGAAAGCATAGCTTATTAGGATATAACAGGAAAATGAGGAATTGATTTGCGTGTACTGATTTCAGAAGAACTTTGAAGCACTGTACTCCTTCCTCTTGTCTAGGGATGCAAAGGTTGCTATTGATAGCTGGTGTTCAGTTGATCCTTGCACTGAATTTGAGCAGAATTCAAAGGTGATAGTCGTTCTTAACCTGGAAACACACTGACATCTTTAAAATTTGTGCTTTTAAGGTGACAGTTATTTGTTATTCTGGACAAGGGCAAGCCCTCTTAAGAGTGTTAAATTAAGTGTCTTAAATTATGCTGAGCTGGTGTTCATCAGATGGCAGTCTAGCTAAGGAAACTGAAGATAATTCTGCAAGAGTCTCTTCTGTCTGTCTAATCTACTTTAAATTGCCAGAAAAGAAAGTTTCAAAATAGAGGAGTTTCAGCTTTCAGCAGTCATGGGGTAGGGGAAGGCACATCCTACAAGTCGCTGTTTTGCAGTCTGTTTGTAGTTCTAAGGGAAACGTGGTGGTGTTTCTGTATGAACTGTTTTCACTAATGCAAGTATTTCTTGTAACATTTTAGACCTTCCCAAATCTCAGTTAAATTTAACTTTGCAGACACTGCTGACAACTGACTTTTTACTTTCACAGATGATTTTTGACCGTTTGATGACTAGAGAGAAGTTATTTTGAGGGAGAAACTGTGCTGAAAGAAATCATATTCAACTCCAGTCTCAAAATTATTAGCAGTTTGCAGTCTGAACTCCTGCATTGTCTTAAGCATTGCAAGCACTTGGAATCCATTCCTGCTCAAGTAAATCTCTGTGAAAGGTTTCAGAAGTTTCACATCTCTGTCTGGAAGAGCGGATGTTTCCACTATGGTTGCAATCAAAACTGTCAGAGCCTGATTGTTGAATATGGTCTTCCATGTCTGGCAGGAAGAAGGTTTGAAGAGGTCATGGTTGTCTTTTCAAGAGAAATGTGACATGTTGCTTCCCTGCTGTAGTGAAAGGGTTTCTAATCTACTTGTCATTTTATATCTTTGGTAAAGTATTCACATGTCACATCATTCAGAGGACCCAGGTGTTCCTGAATACAAAGTTTTATTTCAGGTGTGGGTCCTGGTAAGGAATCTGTCCCAGCATGTAGAGATTGTAGTCCTTTAACTTGCAGACACTCACAAGGGTATCTGAAAAAAAAAAAAAAAACAAAACAGAAAGAAGGAAACAAGACAGCTTTTGTTTTTGTTTTATCCTGTGGGTTGCACAGTGCTGGAATGCCCTTGTGAACTTCAGCTGAGTTGCTTCTGTGAGGCAGAAACTTCTGATAAATTAACTAGTCAGGTGAGATATAAAGGGTTATCAGAGTGGTCATGCAGTCTGAATAGGTGATCTGATAGAGGACTTTATGCTTCAAACAGTGTTCAAAACTGGTGTCAGAGTTGTCTCATAATAAAGTCAGTATGTTTCTTAAGAAAGGAAAAGCTGTCATCATTTTCTGTGCAGAACAGGTGCACACTTTCTACTGACTTTGTATTCTGCCTTAACTACAGCCTCTGTTACAGTTCTTGCTATGTTAGACCTTTTTTAATATATGTAATTTGAGCTATAATGCGTCCATTATGTGGTCAGGGATTTGTGTTCCAAATTTTAGATTATCAGTGAATCTTTCACCCTGATGCTTGAACTTGCCCAGTCGTTTTCTAAGGATGTGTCCATTAGCTGCAGCCTTGCTTTGTGTTCTTGTAGAGGGACAAATACTGAGAGTAGAAGTAGTCTTCATTCAGCAGTCCAGCTGAAATCTACCCAGAGTAGAGTGGGTTTACTGAGAAAGTTACGTCAGTGATTTGATCAAACTTAACTTCAAATAAATGGTTCCTTAAACTTGAGAAAGCCAGTGTTTCATTTTTATTCATGTCATGGTTGTACACTGTAGTTTTGCAGATGAATGTGTCCCATAACTGGTTGATCAGAGAATAAGCCTGACACCAGTGAGATACCTGTGTGTAAAAACCTAGATGTGGTGTTTGTGATTCCCTTTTCAGTATAAAATGAGGGAAGTACACTATGAAGAGACTGCAGGCACTTTGCATTTATGCTGGGCACTGCATTCCTTTTTTTTTTGCTATGTGGCATGTTAATTTATGTTGGAAAAGTTCCACTGACTTCTCATTTAGATACTACCTATTTGGTGTCCAGATGTTGCTGGCATCTGGTTCGTTGTTTTCATTTGCAAATACCTTACAGGAAGTGTTACGTTGGGAATACTTATAACACGGGTACTCATTTTATAAGGAAGCCCCACTCCATTTATTTCTGGGTATATTTCATGACAGTCCATATTTTCCCTCTTGTTTTCCTTTTCTTTTTTTTTTCCCTTTCTTATAAACATCATCCTTTGTTCACACTGCTGCTACACTGCAGCTCATCGCTTTCATTCTCGTCAGTCCTCAGGTGCATGCTGCCATGTTCAGTTGATAGTTGATGAGAATCCCTGCAAGATTGCAAAGTAGCAGACAGAAAATAAAAGGAAATGATAGCTGCTTTTCCTTTTCTATTTCTTCTGAGCCCAGAACTTCACTATGATGAAGAGTGACCAGCTACCTCTAGTGCTTTCGGATTTTTTTAAGTACTCTTCTATAAAAACTACTAAAATAATTGTATGCTTTAGCATATCTTTTTTCCTTGTCATGCAAGGTGATGGTGAATCACAGTCAGGGCTTAAAAAGTGGTGATGTTTGTCATTTTATGAAATTGTACTGAGTTTCTGTTCCTCTTTACCTTGTCACTTTCCTTGCTCTACAGAGGTTGCTCCACTTCTGCTTCAAATTAGCTGAACCTTCAAAGTTGAGCATTAAGAGTTGCAACCCTCGAGCAAAACCATGTTTATTCAATACCCTTTCTTCAAGTGCAGGAGCTAAGGAACTTGGAATGACTGGGAAAGGAAATAGTTGAACAACAAAGGGAAAGTTAGGTAAGAAAGAATTGTTTTTGAGACAGGTATAGGGCATTCCACAAAGGCAGATTATAAAAATAGTGTCAGAAAGTTTTTGGTGTTTTTTTTTCTCTTCTGATATTCATATTTCTAATGACAAACCCTGATCAAAATGAGTTATCTTCTATAAAAATCTGTATTGCCAGAACTAGCAGTTATTTTTGGCCATCAGTCTTTGAGGAGAGAATGATGACTAACAGTTTACCTGGGTACAACAGTCTGTATTTTCCTTGTTTTTCTCGATACTTGCTGTATAAATGTGCCAAAGTGTTTTTGTGTATCTTTTTTATCTTTCTGTGGTTTTCTTATTTCAAAAAAACCAAAAAAATGTTTCTGTTGTTTATGTGAGAGACATTTCTGCTTGTCTCAGCAAAAACTATATCATGATATATTAAAAATGATGTTCAGCTGAAATGGAATGCAGTAATTTGCCAACCAGTGTTAAAGACAACATCCCGATAAAGCAAACAGTTACAACCTACGTGAGTTCCCGTATAATGTACTTAGTGTGTAGTTCTTAGGAAATAAAGGGTATCATTTAGACATACTGGTTGTTCCTACTGATGTCATTTTCTGCTGATTTTCTTATTCAGTTTTAGGAGTTAGGAAATGCACTTTTGACTTCTCTGTGTTGTGCAACTAGATTCCACACCCCCTCCGGGCCCCCATCACCTCTTCAAGGTATAATAGAACATAAGTACAAATGTCTGTCTCGTGTTCACATTGACCCAAAGTCAAACAAGCTACGTAATGCCCTGGATTGAAAGTCCCTCTGGGCTCTGTCAGCGCTCTTTCCCTAGCAGATGAGTTCTGTCCCTTTCTCTGAATCTAGGAAACTGTTTTCTCCTTTTTTCTTGTGTGCTCCAGGAATACTGTTCTGAGGAGATTGTCAGCCAGCAGAGATGGTCTGAGGCTGCTCCGTCTGGCCTGTTGTACAGTCGGCTCCCCTTAAGTGGAGTCCCTTCTACATTAGGCACTTGCAGAGTGGGATTAAATCTGGACTGCAGCTAGCAATGATCTCAGGGCAGGCCAGGGGACTACTGTTGTACTAAGGTGGTTAAATGGTAGACTTTTCAAGCACTAGTTTTTGTTTAATGAGAGATCTTTTTTCTGTCATTCGAAGGTGTGTCAGATGGGCTGTTGAAGCAGTCTCATCATTGCTTGAGGGGGTAGAAGTGCTCACTTGGGGGTTTTGTGGGGTGGAATATTTTGTTTTACTGATTTAAAATAAAGATAAAAATATCAATTACCAGATGCATTCACTAGCCAAAACTAACCACTGAATGACATATGCAGATGGTAATCTGTGAAGACAGGTGGTGTCTGACACTTGCATTTCTGTTTGCAGTTGAGGCAGGAACAGTTTTCAGCAAGGGATGGGGGACAACATTCAAGTACTTTGAAGGAATAGGTGCTTGGTGTGGGAAAATAAGAGTGATGGAAATATTCCTGGGTGATACTTAGGCAAGGAAGGAAACTGGATAGGAAGAGGAGGGAAAAAAACCCTAAAAAACCAGAGGAGTCTACTTCTCTCTGTCTGTCAAAATATGTGCTCTTCTTTCCACACCAGTGGATCTCATCTCACCACTGTGAAAATTTGATTGCCCTATAAATAAAACTTTTTATTTTTAAATGTAAATACTGTATGAAGTCATTAATCTCTTGTAAATGCTTGTGGCAGCTTAGAATTAGAGAGAGTACTTTCAGGGATTTTTTTGCATACAAATTAATCTGTCAGGCTGTCACATTTAAGACTCTTGACAATTCACATTTGACCGATACCACAAATTATGAGGGCCTGGTCTTTGAGCTGAGTTGAATCCAAGTGGGGTTATTTTGTTTGTGTGTGAGAGCAACACTGTGTTCATTTCAGTCCAGTTGTTGTCCAGCTCTGAGGGTTGATTTGGTGAAGAGCTGGACTAACTGTTGACTAATTAAAGCTCAAAACCAATTTTAGAGGTTGCTGAAGCCATTGTATTTGACATGGTCAGGAAAGCATATAGTAGCATCTAAACAAGAAAAACACAGGATTGTGGTAGAGGAGAAGACATCATGTATAATTCCAGGAGTAGTTTGTAAGTTTTCTGCCTGTAGCTACCAGTCAGAACAGTTCTTTGACCTGCTTAGCAGTTCCGTAAGAGTTTCTTGTCAGCACTGGCTTTCATGCTGAGCATTTCTGTTTTCCACGTGTTTCCCAGATGGATGTGCAGACATTATTTGGCTCTCTTCCAACCCTTCTCTTACCTGCTGGTGCATGTGTGTTGCTTTGTTCTGTCTCCTTCCTCAGTATTGACATTTTTGAGCCCTTGTTCTGATTACTTTTGTTTCAACTATTCTTATATACATAAGGTGTTCTTTATGTAACTGAAACTTATCTGAAGCACCTTTCTTCTTTGTTTTTTTTTTTTTTTTTTTTTTTTTTTTTTTTAAAAAACTTTTTTTTTTTTTTTTTTGGTCATGACCTGATTGGTAAAAGTGATTCCATCTGATGTGCCACAGATTGCAGTATGGGCACCGTACTTAGGGATGGCAAATATAATTTTAATTTGTTGGGAATCTGCTGTTAGGGTTGTGCATAGCTTGTGATCTCACGATAGAAATGCTGAGTGACAGTTGAGATTTTCCTTTGCTTATTGCTTTACACATTCCAGATTTGTTTGGGAGGAGATGATCATAGAACCATTGGAATTACTTTAATCAGACTGTGACATTGACCCTGGTAATGGTATTTTTTTGTTGCAGCTGCAAGATGCAAGGAGCAAAATTACAAATATTTAAGGGTCCACTGGAGCCTTCATTTCAACGTTGTTAAAGAGTCAGTGAAAATCAGCAGTTGGTTTAACTTTATATTTTTTTCCTACAAATTCTGCAAACACATACTTTGTCTTTCCTGAGCTGTTGTGATTGTTAATACCAACGTAAGTTTTCTTTGGCTATGAAGTGATATCCCAGGCAATGTGATATTTTTGGGGTTATTTTAGTAATCTAAAATAGGTTGTAGACATTGCTTGATGGTTTGGTCTAGTTACCCAATACAGTGAATACTCCACTCCTTGGTAGTGCTTACCTCTGACAGCTTCAGAAGAAGAAATCTTACAGCAGTTACACAGAGCTTTTTGGAAAACACTGCTTTAACTTCCTCAGTAAGAAAGGTGTAGACTACTTATTTTTCTTCTAAAAGCATGCAAGTTTCCATGTTTTGGGTTTATTCCTCCCACACCCCCTTCTCCAAACAGCTTTCACTTCGTTTCTCTTAGGAAGAAGGCTAACACGAATTTGAGGTATTTGTGTCCATGTCCTTCCTCGGCCATCACTTTTTGATTGGTGTCACCTCACTTCAAGTAGATTTGACTGAGAATCAGAAATGTCAGTGGTTGTTGCATTTGCATGGGTTTTTAAGAAAAAATTAATGAGGCAAAAGAGGAGAGCCTTGAAGAAATAAATCCTTGGCGGGGAGGAAAACAGAAAAGCATTGTCCTTTCCATTGCTTAAGGGAAACTAACTCTTTCCTACAGAAACATCCAATCCTCTTTGACTAGTAGACTGAACCACTGCCATGTGGCAAACCATTCCCTGGACATTTTGTGAAAAGTAATCTTGATATGGGAATAAAAAACATCATGTGTATTTCCATTACTTTTTGTTGTTTGTATTCTCAAAGGAGTGAGGTGGGGAAAGGATGAACCAAAGAGGTTGAATATCACTGTGTGGAACTAAATGAATTGTAGAAGTAAAAGCAGCTGGAATGGAGAAGTGTAGTGCATGTTGCTGCTGAATGCAGAGGAGAGAATTTGTGTTACTGTAAAATCCTAATTGCCAAGAGAAATTTATTTTTGGTTCTGACATTGTTTTTTGTTTTAGGTCCTGTATAATATGATTGTAGAAGTACCTCGTTGGACTAATGCAAAAATGGAGGTAATTAACAAAAATACATTGATTATGTGAGTATTTATGGAAGGTATGACAATGCAGTGGCTTCCAGTAGTCTGAGTTTTAATCACAGTGTGTATTGCTCTTTACACATAAAATCTTCTCTGTTAAAAAATTGATTTGAAGTGGTGCATACAGACACTCTCCTTGCAATTATATAAAGTGTCTTCTTTACAACCCTCTGATTGGAGGGTGCAGCATACCCTCAGCAGAGTCCTGAAGTACTGACTTTCAGGATATTGTCCAGCATTTTAGTCTTACTTTTTCTTGCTTATGGAGCATTCCACTCAGAGGATTTAATTCATCATTTCCACTGTATGGTGTGCTGGGCCAAATCCTGACAAATGGAGTTGCAAATAAAAAAGCATTTCTTTGTGACAAAAAAAAAAATTACTTGGGGATCTCACTGATTGAAAGTATCTCCTGCAGGGAGATATTTTACAAATAGAGCTTCATCTGTAGTGTTTGTAAAACAACACATCTCACCAGGATATGTCCTAACTTTCTGAAGACTTGTATTAATCTTAGGGATGCTTCCCAGCTGCTTTTAAGGAAGCTTGTGGTTGAGCTGTTAACTATTTTAATTATTGAAAATAATACCAAAGAACTTCCCCAGCCTGTTATTTCAGAATTTTGTTTTCTCCTTTCTCTGATGATAGAAAATTATTTTGAGCTGTGTTTACCATCACAGTTGTTATTCTGCAACCAGAATATCTTACCTTAGATATTTACCTTGTATTTCCAACTGATGATTTATCGTGGAAACTGAGTTTTCTTTCATAGAGATTTCCTTTGACAGTTCTACTTGAACTCATTGCCTAAAGCTCAGGTTGCTCCCCTTCCTCTTCTCTTGAGACATTATAGTCAGGGCTAGAAAAGTTTACTGTCCAGTTAGGTTGAGAAATCTGTGGTGTTTAGACTCTTCTGGCTTGATAGAGGAGACTAGATGTAGTTCTCTAACATTTAACTTCTAATTAACCTGAAATTCCCTGCATCAGTCATTAAGGCAGTTGTCTTGCCATGCCATTGTGTCCTGGCACTCCTTCAGTCCAGACTGTGGTAAGCTGCTAATACCTGCTAATACCTTGTCTGCATCTCTGTGCTGATATTCCCTCTTGTAGAATGGAGATTGTAGGAAATTAAACCTTGCCTTAGAGTGAATGTTACCCTCTGTTACATCCCCAGTGACAGATCTTCTGCTCATCACCTTATTGCGTTCTTGTTGTTCTTCCCTTCATTTTACTGAAGGGGCTTTTCATGAAACTTTTGTCTGCTGCTTCCAGTCACTCTTCTTTGTCCCACTTTCCATCAAGAAAAAGCATCGCTGAGCTCCACTTCTGTCAGTGTCCCAGGTGGCACATTTAAGGTCTTCACTGTTAAGTTGTGACCAGGAGCAAGTTAGAATCCAGTGTGAAACCAGAAACGTGTGAACCGTTATCTCAGCTCTTGGGGAGGGTTTACTTGTGGAATAAGTATGTGCTATTTATTGACAGTTTGCTGTGGTTCAAAAAGGTGGAATTCCTTGGGGATGGCTTTGTAAACAAAGTGAGAGAGGTGCTTTAGGTAAATGACGGTGATGTAAAATGAATATGGAGTAAGGGCTGTGTGCTTATGCATGGAAGCTGTGCACCACCTGAGCCAGTGTAACCACTTCAGCTGCTAACCGGTGTTTTGCCATTCAGATGAGTGTCCGTAAGCAAGAACCAAGCTAACATGTATTGGATTGTAGTGTGTAGTGTCAAGAGGATGGGAACAGTGAATTAGCTGTGGTAGGTAATTCGTATGGCAGTGGGTTTGTATTTGAGGTTCTGGCAAGGATGATGCTGTTCAGCTTCTGTGCTTCTGAGAGTGCTTCCCTGGGATTAAGAAGACCCCCTTCTAATGCCAGCTTAACTTGTTCCAAATCTGCGTTAAGTTGGCATTTGGTGACTACGGAGAATTTGTGCTCGCTGAAAAGCATTTGTATGCTGAAAAGTGTTGGAAATGAGGGATGTGTGCAATGGGAGAGCAAGGAACAGAGGGCAAGAAGAACATGAAACATTTCCTCTGTGAGTGCCAAAAGTCTCTGTTGTCAGAAGAACTTGTGCCACCATTTGCATGTCTGTTGAACTTGTACTATAAAGTGCAAAAGCTTCTGACTTAAGTTCCTTTCAGTATTTATGTTTGACCATGACAGTGTCCTTATAAATTTATTACTTTCTCTTCTAGATTTCATTTTTTTCTTGCACACTTTACAGCATTATTTAAAACCTTAATAAGCTGCTTTTTGAATATGACCCTTGAGATTCAGACTGAGGCTATTGTACTTTTAATAATTCTCAAACCACAGGCATGTGCCTGCCAGATGGATTTTTCTAACTGGTTGGGTATGGAATGAATTGCTTTCCATTTTATCATTCTCCTTCTCTTTCTCTCCCCCTCTCCACCCCCGCCCTTTTTCACGATCTACTTAGATTGCCACTGAGGAGCCGTTGAATCCCATTAAACAAGATATAAAGAAAGGGAAGCTTCGATATGTGGCAAATATCTTTCCTCACAAGGGTTATATATGGAATTATGGTGCCCTCCCACAGGTAACATTTTTGTTATAATGGTGAAAGTTTTCTGTCTTCTGTGTAAATTGCCTTGTAAATCTTGGATACTGCCTGAATGCAAATCAGCTGCAAGAGGGATACTTCTCTTGGATACGTTTGTAAATTAGGATTTTTTTTATGTTGAACTTTATTGTGTCCATAAATTTTGATCAGAATTTGGGTGTGGAAGTAAATCTGAGCTGTGTTTCAGGAAGGAGTTAAACGGTCAAGAAATCTCAAATCTTTAGTCTGTCTCTGCACTGTAGTGACAGACTTAAACTGTCACGGCCTGCCATTCAAGAATACATTGTCAAGTGGCTCTTCCCTGCTTAAACAAGGCATTTTTTAAAAAACTCATTTAGGATTTTCATATGCAGCAGCATAAATTTTAATTGGGATTTCTTAATATCTTTAACAAAGAAGAACACAAGGGCTGTTCTCTTTCAGATTAAACCTCAACTGCCTTACTTAACTTTTCTCTGAACTGTGAGCCTTTACTGATCAGGACACAGTCAAAACTTTGAGCCTTGAAAAGCCCAATTAATGGATGAAATTTTGAGCATAATGAAAAGTTTTAAACTTTTTTCATTTCTGTGAATAACTCATTGGACTTAAATTACTACTGAAGAACATGATGGAGCTTGAAAAGAGTAGTTTATTTTCTTTACAATTAACTGTATAAGCACTGAATGTTTAGCCATGAAAACAGAGAGGGCTGGAAATAATTGTAATTTTTATTTTTTAATATATTAGAATATTTGCTATCATAGCAGAAGCTGCTCTACTGTCCAGAGAACAGCTAGTGAGCTTTCCTCTTAACCTAGTGGTGAAGAGATGAAATTGGGCACAAAACTAATACTGATATAATGTAGCCTTAAATAAAAAGCCCTTTGGAAGAGTATTGGAAAAATTAACAATTTTGAGGTGGAGTTATGATCATGGACAGCAGGAGCTAACAGCATAGCTCCTTGAAAAAAAAAAAAAAGGTTTCTAAAATCTTTTCAACAAAATTTCATTGGACTTAAAATTGTTAACAGAAAAGCTTTTCAACTGTAGAATGAGTTACTCATTACTTGCCAGTAAGAGTAAGAACAAGTACTGGTCTAGTAATTAAATTAGTATAACTTGGCTAGGATTCCTTGCTTGTACAGTGCTCAGAGCAGGGGTTTAAACTTGCCCTTGGAGAAGCTTCTTCGGTCTTAAACAGTTTGCTGTTCTTGGGAATGTACACATCTCAAAATATTAAGAAGTACTTCATACTGAAATCTGAAAATTTTAAAAAGCTTATTGGGTTCAGGCAAATCCATGCCTAGGAGGGTGGTTAGCTCAAAGCCTCCATGTTTTTGAAAACAATATCTGTTAGTGTCATGGTATTTGAAAAGTATAATGAAAACGTAATTGTATGTCCTAGCTTGCTCCCATAATCACTATTAACTAGAAAAATCCGTATTCAGGGTCCTCTGATGCCTTAATCACTGCACTTGGGTAAAGTGTATCTGTTGAGTCATGGATGCAGTTAATATTTTTGTTCCTGTGTCCTCAGTAATCCTCATGTTACTTGTCCTGTGTGTGAATTACTCAACATCAGTCCACTGGCTGTTTGTTTGTTTGTTTTTTCTTCTCCCATTGAGCAAGCCTATTCTCAGAAAGCTGATGTTTTTATTGGTGTTTTTATTAATCTTAGTAATTTAGTGGTAAGGCAAGTTATGATTGCAGTTTAGTTGGTAACTGATAGTTCTGTTTCCTTTGGCAGACCTGGGAAGATCCAAACCATAAGGATAACATTACAGGATGTTGTGGGGATAACGATCCTATTGACGTTTGTGAAATAGGTTCAAAGGTTTGTCTTTATTGGGATTAATTTAATTTATCAAGGTTAACTTAATAATTTGGTAACAACTTCTGGAAGAGAAGGACAGATGGAAAACAAAAAAATGGTAATAGTGTTTGGGGCTGATGAAAGGATAAACAGAGGATCTAAGGGAATAGGTAAGGAAATTGTGGATTTTGAAAAAGGAGGAAAAAGGGAAGGAATTCATAAAGTCTTTGTATTTGATAAAAGGGAAAATAAGAAAACACCATCCTGAAGTTTTGTGGCTGGACATTGAGTTTTGTGTGAGGTAGGAGAGAGTTAAGAGTTAAGATTTTTGGGGAAGGAAAATATTTATTTCTTTTCCCCCTATTAGCAGTATCTGAGCTATGAACAGGTTGTTGAAAGATGAGGGAGTATGACAGCCTTAGCACATTAAAATAACAAGGTCAGACCCACAAAGGAGATAGGTTCGAGTTTACTCATGGGTGCAAGCAGAAGTAGATCCTCTTCTAGAGAAGAGAGGAACCTGTCGCCGTGCTGCAGATTTATGTGTCACGGAGTGGATGGATAAAAAAGAGGTGCAGAAAACACCGTTAGTAGGTAGAAAGAAAAGGTTTAGCTCCCTGAAAGAAAAATGTACATATCTAGAGGCAGCAAAGAAGGGAGCAGTGTTCTGTGGTATCACAAATGAGGTTATGAAATGGATGAGTTTGGAAGAGGGATTTCTTGGGATATTTTAGGTAAAGGGAAATTAATTGGTGACCTCAGTGGAGGTGATCACTGATTATTTGAGGTGAGGAGCCTAAAGATGAATTGCAAGGGATCCAGAAAGAGTTACAGAGGGATTATCATCTGGTAGGGAGAAAGTTCCTAAGGTAATGGAAAAATAGTTGTGCTGGTATTTCTGGGGAAGGGCTGTGTGTTTATGTGTGTATATTGGAGTCTAGAGGAAGGAATAGCGAGAGATAAATTAGGACCATGAGTTGAGAAAAGTAGAGAGTCAAGAGACAGGAATAAGTTAAAAAATGAATATGAGCTACTTTTGACTTGCAGTTTGGAGTGAGGATCAAGAAAGTGGAGGATAAGTAGGATAAAAAGAAAGGAAATATTTTCTAGATTCTTGTGTACTTAAATGCTGACTAGAGGATTGAGGTTTGAAGAAGAGTAATGATAGGAGAAAGGCTAGAAATGTTAAATACATGTGTGCTGGGTTTGCAGATCTGTCTTGCAATACTGCTATAGCTGCTGGTCAAAAATGTAGTAAAACTATGTTTTTTTGTAAGGTAAAGGAGAAATTCTTTGTGGTGTTTTCCAAATCTTTGTGACATGTTCCGTTTCAGGTTCGTTCTTCTGGTGAGATTGTTCAGGTGAAGGTTTTGGGTGTTTTAGCTCTTGTTGATGAAGGGGAGACAGATTGGAAGATAATTGCTATCAGTGTGGATGACCCAGAAGCTCATAAAATCCATGGCAAGTATTTTTATCTTTTTTAATGCCGGTTATGTCAGCAACTTGCACAGTAGAATGGCACCTGAGTTTAGGTCACTCAGGACAAGGAGAGGCACAGAGTGGAAAGGCAAGACTTGACTTTTATTGTTCTGTTTAAGTCAGGTGTTTCCTTCAAGGAGGGCATATAGGTTTTCACAGTAAACTTTTTTGAAATGGTTCACTTGGATCTTCAAGAGGACCTGTCATACAGAAAGTCTTTTGACTTCTGAAACACAACTGCCTTAGAAAGTGACCTCCTAAAATTAAAGTTTATCTCCTGTGTAATAGTGAATATTTACCCACTTACATTATGTAGCACACTGCTGTTTTCCTTGTTGAAAGTGTTTGTTCCTTTTATATTTGCAGACATTGTGTTGCATTCTGAAAAGGCTGTATATTTCCAGTACTTTGTCACTTGTAATTGTATTACTTCCAGGGTTTGTCACTTAGTGTGTTTCAGCTTTTAGCATGAAAATTGGCAGTGTAAACTGCTAATGCAGCTCACCCTAATATCACCCTAATATCCCCCTGGGTGTGCAGGGGGAAATACACTGTTCAGACTTTTCCTCTCTGTGACCATTCTTCTTGGTATCCAGAGGAAATCCAAATACTGAAATGTGTCTATGTGAATATCACATGAGACCTAATTTTGCTGGAAGATGTGTTAAAGCTGCAGGGAAGTAGGTTTTTACAGCACAGCTAAAGTGCAGCTTTCCTCTGGATAAATGGGCGTTCACTTCCTCAAACACAATGTTTGGGAATCATGAGAATTATGTGAGGAGGTTTGTCTAAAAGTGACTGTTATGAGACCAAACCACATGTATATGTCTGTATAAATATATATATATATATATATGCAGTCAGTACCCATCAGGTGTGTACAATCAGCCTGCTCTTTGTTGGTTGGGAGCACCAAGGCACAAAGTGGCCTTTCTGTAGGAGTAGGGCTATCCAATAGTTTTTTTAAGCAATTATGTTTCTCAGCCACTGAGGCTTTTTCCTAGTTTCTGAATGTAAAGTAAGTATGTCACTGGACTGGCCCTTCATTCCCAGTTTTCTTGCAGGTTGCTTTCACATGGAGAATACTTGACTTGTGGGGAAAGAAGGGGAGAAGAGGAGATGAGGAAAAGGAAACTCTTGGGTTGCTGATGATTAAAATCATTGGGCAGATGAATTACTACATAGTGTTTATGACTCTTTAACTACTTTGATAGAGATTAAGAAGTTCAGCTTAAGGAAATAGTAAGTAATAGTTTGCTGTTAATGTTAGTATCAATTTAAACCACTCTAATGTGCAGTGAAATGCATAAGTGTCAGTAGTTAAAACACAAGTAATTAGCTGTTCATTTGTATTCAGTGTTCTGTTTAAAGTCTTACCTTTTTTGCTTAACAATTTCTGAGACAATGTAGTCTGAAAATTGGATGAAAGAATTCAAAAGGAGTCTACTAAGTCGGGGCAAAACTGTGGCAGTTTATTCCAATATTATTTATTATTATGGATTTGAAGGTCCTCTGCTGTTTTTTGGTTGGTTGGTTTTTCTTCGGTACACCCCCAGGTAATGATTTATGGCATTTCTGTTACAGCTTTAGTTTTTTGGGGAGTGGGGGAGTAGGAGCTTTAGTGTTATTTAAAAGAAAAACAAGGGGGAAGAATGGGCAAACCATTGCTGTAGTTGGTTCCTGAGTGCCTACTTTCTTATCAGAGAATATGTGCAAAACTTTGAGAACTGTCCTGAGATACAGAGAAGTGTAGAAATATTGATCCAATTTAATATGATTTCCCTTTGGGATTGGAGTTGCAGCATAGGATTTACAAAAGAAAGAAAAGGGGGGTAAAAGCCCCCATCTGCTTTCACAAAACATGACTGGCTTGCAGTGTTTAACAGCAATCATTCTTCTGTCTGAAAACAAACAAATCTGTTGGAGCCGGCAGTACAATATGTCCTTTTATACTTGCTTTTCCCCCTTCCCTAAGTTGTTAATTATTTCAGCGTAAAGGGATGGCAGCTACAGATAAAACTGGTCTCTCCTCGGTAATTGACATGCTGCTGTGTTACAGAGGTGGCCTCCTGGGGAAGATGAGGCTAAGTGTTGCCTTCTAATCCTGTCCGGTCATTTTTGTATCATTTGTTAAACATTTACAATCGGACTGAGAATCATCACATTTGCTTTCAGCTCAGTATGTGCACAGCCCCCAGTGAACATTTGGAAAAGATAATTCCGAGACACCAGAGCGGTGATTACTCGCAAGCCCCATCCTGAGCCCGCGCAGTGTGTTAACTCCTCTTGCCGCTTTAAGCACACCCCAGGTACTCTGTATATTCTCCATCCAGGATCGTGAGCGTTCTCATAAGTGCCACTGATTTTTCTGAGGCTTCACAGAACTTAAAACTGAGCAGTCCCAACTTCTGAGTGGTTCTCATTGTTCATTCATAGCACTCTGCTGTACTGTGTCCTGCAGGCATTTATTGATAAATACTGGTTTAAATTGGAAACCCCGCCTAGAACTCTCTCCTTCACACAGAGCAATAAGCAACTCTAATTTACAGTGACAATACCCAGGAATAATTAGCAATGCTCAGCACCTATTCAAGTGGGAACTGTGTCATCAGTGGGAATGGCAGGGGCTTAGTGTCGTTTTTGACTGATTTTGGAAGGCAATCTGTTTGAAATAATAGCACTTAATTCTGGTGGGCGTGGGGACAGTCTCACACCAAATACAGGCTGTATATCAGATGCAGATATGTGTGTGAGAAAGTTTCTTTTAGGCTAAAACTAGACATCTTCAGATTTATTTACTGGCTATTGTCTTTCTGCTCATGCAGTTGCTAGGCAGATGGCCATTATTGGACCAGCAAAGCAACTTTAGACCAAGCAACTCTGAGAAAGGACCTAAAGCTCCTTGCAGACTGAAACACTAAATCTTGGTGATGTAATAGGTTGATTTTTTTTTTTTAATTTTTATTTTGGTTGATTGGTTTGGATTTTTTTTCTTCTGGGAAATAGTAGCCAGGAGTAGAAAGGCTGCATGTCTGCTTACCTCATAATTTGGATTGAACTTAATATATTGGAGTTTACATGCATATCCGATGTGCTTTACTAGGTTGAGACCGTAAAGGAAGAGTGATGTTTTCATGCTGTGATTTGGTCTAAATCTATGTGCCTCTTCATGTTGGCCAAGAGGTTTTAAAAGTCATTGGCAACTGAAGCAGGAATTGTGTTTGGAGCAGCTTATGAAGAGTCTGACTTTCAAAAGGTCATCTCACCTTCTTTCAGCACGTTGGACTAGTCATGTATGCTGGGTGGCATCTGGGAGGTGTTCTACTTGTCTGGAATCTTAGCAGCCATTTTTTGCTATTGCTCACTGGAAAGGTGCCTGGATGTATTCAGCAGCAGTTGGTGATGTCTGCTGGCTTTGTTGCTCTGCCTTTTGCTGGCACTAGTGTAGTTAACTGTGCTGTGTTGCCATGCTGCTTTTACAAAGTGCATCTCAAGGTAGAGTTAAGTGATCAAACCCTAAATGGCAAAACCAAAGTATATTGTATATATTGTTACAGACCCTTCCTTGCATGTGAATATATTTATATGCAGAGAAGCAGCAGAGGCCCATAAAACCTTTGTTGTGGATTTGTGTAAGCACTCAGTATAAAGAAATTAATTATCTGTACCAAGGCTCCCCTCCTACCCCCTGCTCAAAATACACCAAATGCCTTTATATGGAATGTAGCTGCTGCTTCCTGTAAATGTTTATAAGATGTTATTAAAAACATATGTCCTCTCTTCCCACAGACCTTGTTTAGAAAGCTTGCTGCAAGCATGTTGCTTTAGCTTTGCTTGCAAGAAGCAGCATCTGTTGTACTAAAAATGGTAGTTTTGTGCAAATGCTTTTGTTGCTCTCTTTCGTAAAGCCAGATAGAAGTGGGATCTGCGTTAGCATTTGCTCACTCCCTTGACAGAGGGCTAGCAGCAGTTCTTTGTGCCAACCTCTGGAGATTTTCCTTATTGAGACTAAACTGCAAACTTTATTGTGATCAGCCATCTCTTTTTAAATCTTGGTGCTTAACTTTGGTGCCCAGAAAAGTGAGACCTGTGGTTTTATGTAGGCAGTATGAAGAAATAACCACCTGGAGCCCAGTGGGGTCCATGCTGGCTGTACCTGCGGCAGCCTGGCCTTTCTACTCTGTCATTTTGAGCGGGGCTGGCTTGCAGAGATGAACTGCCATAGTCTGTGGGCCATGTGCATGCTTGCTACTCCCAAACCTGCCTTTGCTCCTTTTGACATCAGTGTAAGTACATAGCTCTGAGGGAAGGTAAACAGTCAGGGTCTGAAAAAAGTATCTTAACAGTGTTTGCTGCAGAAACAACATCTAAGTTGTGTTGTTGTTTTTTTTGGTGTTTTTTTTTTTTTTTTTTAAATTTTTTTTTAATTGAAATAATTTGCATCTATCTTCTGTAGATATCAGTGCAGTAAATCACGGTACTGCTTATTGTGATCTTTTCTTTTACCTTTCTTTGCTTACTCTTCTGTTTCCTGAGTATGTTTTTCTCCTTTTCCACCTGATGTCCCAAAGAGGCTGTTTGGATCGCAGAGTGGAACACGAGCTGTCTCTCAAGTTTTTCTGTGGCGAGTTGTAATGAACTGATCAGGTGGCTGTTGAGTGATGCGAGAGCTGCTGTTTTCCTTGTATTTTGAACTATGTGCTGACTCCACAGCAATAGGATCAATTTGTTTGTTTGTTTGTTTTGTTGCATTGTTGCACTTTTTCCTGTTGCTTGCCACCAACTCCCACTATAATACAGATGGTTTGGATCTCTTTTTTTTCCTTCAAGCACTTAAGCTTCATTTGATGCTCAGTAGCTGTCCTTCATAGTAAAGACTAGTGACATGAAGCACAGGGATGAAGGAAAATAACTTGCCAGGAACCAAGGAAATAAAAGCAGCCAATGCCTGTCTTAAGTCCTCAAAACCAGAATATTCAGCAGCCATATAATGCAGCCATATAATAGCCTGATTCTGTTTAGTCATTTTAGCTAGGCAAGGTGTTTTCTGTTAAAAGAGAGTGTGAAATTCAGGGAGATAATTCTATCCACAAAGATGGTCATCCCTATCATAAGGAAGTAAAGGCTGTCCCAAAGCCTATTCTAATCTTTAAAACTTATTTATAAGGGACAAGAGATGAGAAGGACCAAGTGTCAGTAGACAGTAAAGCATTTTTGATGAACAGTTTTTATGGGAATAGGAAGCAAATAACCAAGTAGAGGGAATGGAGTAGCAGAGTTAGGAGAGACATTTGCTGGAACAGGAACCAGAAAAAAGGAGCAGCAGTGTGAGAAAGTGTGCTTGAATTTAAGTAGTGTCTGGAGATGGAGATCTGGAGTTTGTCCACTGCTGGGAGCCAAGGACATTGCTGCAGCAGCCTGATTTGCTTTACAGACTTGAGGAGATACTGTCTCTTCAACAAATGCTATTAATTGTGAATTCAGACCTCAGAAGAGGAGGAGATGACAAGGATTCAAGTTGGAGGAGGGATATTCTTTTGCTTGGAGAGAACAGGAAGATACACTGTATCCCTGAAACCGATTTGGAGCTGCAGTTTTATTAAGTGCCCAAATGAAGCATTCTGGCTCCAACTAAGATCCCACCCTTTTCTAAATCGTTCCATCTGGTTGGTCTTGCCCACCCATCTTAGTGAAATGCCTCTTGTGCTCTTAAACACGTATTCCAGCTAGACGACCTGCCTCTAGCACAGCCTTATGTGCCCTTGCTTTTTTTCTGGGATTCTGCCAATGCAAATCCCTGATCTCCTACAGACAGATGGCCAGCAGCCAAGTTCAAAATGTGTTTTACTCTGAGTCCATAAACACGTAGCCCTATGAAGTGTGTGCAGAAGCAAAAATTTACATGGGGTTCTTCAAGGTTTTGTGCTTTATTCTTTGGGTAGTGTGTAATGCAGTGGAATTTGGGAGTGGCATCTATCAGATGCTGATGAATACTCAGCATATCTTCTCACAGAGGTTTGGCCTGGCAGTTCAGTCCACATGTCATCTTTCATGGTGGTCTGCTGAGAACTGAATGGTCTGTAGCACAAGACCTTTCCTCTTCTCTTAGTATTCTCTTTAAAAATACTTTAATGTCTTTGTTCAGGTTCACGATGAAATTTTGAAAAGACATTTAGGCACTTCAAGATGGAAAGCACGTGAATAGGTGTCAATTCCGTGGACCAAACAACTCTGAATATCTGTTTTTTAGGACTGGGTAGACAGAAGAGTATCTTATCAGGAATCAGCAGATGTCATTAAATGAGAAATATCTATGGGAGAAGAGAATGAAGTAGCCAAGCAGTATTGAGAGAGAAAGCAAGAGAGAACAAAGAAGAGAGACATGAGTGAGTGACTTGCAAAACAGTAGAGAAGGAGAGTAACACCATAGAAGGCAGCCTGAGCAGAGTGAGGCTATGAAATAGGTGGAAGACTACAGCAATAAGAAGTCAGTTCCCATTTCCCTCAAAAGTGACTGTGAAAGGGAAATAGACAGAAAGATTACACCAGTGACAAAGTACTCAGTTTCTGGAACAGATAAAATCCTTTTTTGTATCAAAATCAAGTAGAAAAGTATTGAAGGCTTTTCCACATAAACATACTGCCAGAGAGTTAATTTGCCGATGGGTTGATAGGACCACCCCACTGCAAGTGACAGAAGTGGTGGTAGTCTCAAAGGACAAGCCAGTAAAATTTGATTTGCACAGCAGGTAAGCGTTTAAGATCATGAGCTGCATCTTTGATAGAGCAGTGTAGTCTTCAAGCAGAATTACTATGTGACTGTTTAATCTCTATGTACACACTGTGGCAGTGTTCATCTCTGCCTCACAAGGGTGTCCCACAAATGGCATACGTGTCCTGTTAACATCTTTGCACATTGGGATTATAGAGGTAGAGGTGGAGTTGCTTATCATTTTGATATGCTTATTATATGCAGATACCATGGTGTTATCAGTAAAGTTAGTGTTTAGTGCTCCTGGCATGTATCTATCTTTTACTGAAGGGGCTGAATTTGGAAGTCACATGAGCAAAGGGATGCCTTTAATGCAAGTTTGAGAAGTCATGTCTGTATTTTGTTTTGAGGTGCTAGTTTAAAAATCCATGTGTTGAAATTGTTTTTACTGGCTATTCTTTCATTAACAAAAAAAGCTTGTAGCCCCTGCAGTTGCTGGGGAAAAAAAATTACCTCAGTGAATAATCTTAAGTATTGCAAGAGATACCTACTGAGATGAAAGTCTATAAATATGGAATTTTCTTCTTCTTCTGTCACAAATATGGTCCTTTTATTCATTGTCCCTTTGGGTCTTAATTAACAAATGTCAGGAGGCAACTGGTTTACCTGCTTAGTATGGTTGTGAAATCATAAGATATTCAACTCTGGGCAGCAAATGTAATAAAGTGAAGTTCCCCAATGACTTTGAAAGTGCTCAGTGCAATCAAATTGCTTGCAGATCCTCTAGGAAATTTTAAAAAATGATCGTTACAAAACCTGTGATTAAAAACGATCCATTCTTTTGTTGTTCTGTTGGTTTTTTTTTTTTTTTTTTTTTTTTTTTTTTTTTTTTTTTTTTTTTTTTTTTTAACCTACAGATATCGATGATGTCAAGAAGCACAAACCAGGTTACCTTGAGGCTACAGTTGACTGGTTCCGATTGTATAAAGTCCCTGATGATAAACCGGAAAATCATTTTGCTTTTAATGGAGAATTTAAAGACAAGGTGATGATAATGCAAAATTAAAGATGCATCATTCTGTCATGTGGCCTCTGTAATACCTCCTAGAATTTTTGGAACTGTGAAGGAGGAGGTTTAATGAAAAGAATTTTGATGTGAGGGACTTCTAAATACAATTTATTAGGCTGGGATTAAATAATATTTGCTGCTGTACATTTTATTCAGGGAAAATGCATAGGTCATTAAAGGAATTCTGCAAAAAACATTCAGTCCTAATGCTGCTAAGACTTATACACACATCGGTGTGTTTGTAGGCATTTTTCAAGGCATTTTTCATTCTCCCTCTCAGAGTAATGAACAGATTGTCTTTTCAGGTGTTTTTCAGTCCTGTTTGATAATATTTCTGAATTTTATTAAGGCTATGCTGACAGTGGGTTGCAGATTTTCTCAAATTAGGTATTTGCTCAAGGTATACTTTTTCCTGGTAATTCTGTATAAAACATTTGAACTGTTTTGCTCCAAGGCTGAAAAGATATTTTCCCCCTTTTCTTTTTCTTTTAGAAAAAATGAGTGGCTTTTTAAACTACCTGCAATTAAAATGGCCAGTGTTTTAAAGGGGAATGGACCCAGAAGTATACTTCTTTGAAGAAAATACCTGGATTTTTCCAGAGGAAATTGAATGTGATTTCAGTAAAATGGCTTTACACCTTGCATATTGCACACTCTCTGTAGATTATTCTTGGCAACGAATCACAGGTTTCTAATGAATGATGTCCGTGTGTCAGCTAGTTCACCTTGCAGGGTGCTGTCAAAGTTATATAATGCCTTCTAACCAGCACAGGCAACTTTACATGTTTTGTCTGGTTAAAGAGATGCCCTGACTCCCTTCTGCACTAAAACTGTCTTTGAAATCAATAAAGTGTGGAGTTGTAATGTTTGATAACCTCATCTCTCCTCTCTTCTCCCAGGAACAGCTCTTAGAGATTTTCCTGCTCTGTAAAGTAGTGTGTGGCTCTGTAGCCACAGGTGAACAGCATATCCCCTGTCAGGCCATTGAGTTCAGCCTGGAGGCACTAAATGCCTGGAGATAGCTGGTTTGGAGCACTTGAATAATTCTCAAGCATTTCTAGAGACCCAGGATGTGGCCAGGCGGCTGTGGCTGTGCTCCAGCAGCTCTGGTGAAGTTCACAGTGTTCCAGTGGCACTTTTCCAAGTCACTCCTTGTTAGGAAATGTGAATGTTCTGTTGGCAGCTTTTTTGCAAGCCAGTCTAGCTATCATCATCTGGATACTGAGGGCTTATTTTACTTCATTTTTTTTTAAGCTTACTTTTGTTTCAAACAGAAACTGTTAAGCAGCTGACATGTTACGTTCTTTCAAATGCTTAAGTATATGATTGGGCAATTAATGAAATAAATGCAAATTTTGCCACTGGAGGGGAGACCCTAATTCTGACCCTGACGCACACATGTACCAGCAGAGCCGTAGCTCACACACTTTGTCCCATTTAGGACCTGGTACAGTTTTCTGCAGCAGTAGGGTTCTGCTTAGCATCTAGTGCTGATTTAATTTCTTTCATGCTGCATTCATATTTTCTGGCTGAGGACTGAGGGAAGTCCTGAATGTGTAGCCAGTATATTTGAAAGATAGTGAAACTTGTTTCTTTTACTAAAAAGGGTGTTATATTCTCCAGAAATTTAATGAGGCCACAAAGGAGGCCCTTTAAAATAACACTTGAAATAGTATGTTCTAATAAACTAGTTCTGTGGCTTTTTTTCTGTTTAATAACACTTTAATTCATAAAACTTTCCTTCATGTAAACTAGGATTTTGCTGCTGAAATTATTAAATCCACCCATGAACACTGGAAAGCTTTGCTTCATAAAAAATCTGATGGAGGTACTATTAACTGGTAAGTATCCAGTCATATCACTTGCTCTTTGTATTGTGCTAGTATTGGTGCTATTCAACACCTTGCAGCTGTCCATGAACCGCTTAAAAAAAATTTTTTTTTTTTTTTGAGATAACAGGAATACTCATGGTTTTGATTGATAATTAATTGATAGTAGAGCATGATTGATTATTTGCACCTTGTATGATGATGATTTACTGGTAAGTGGCATTACATAGAAGTGGCACAGATTGCTTCAGCTTTCGAGGAATTGCCCGGAGTGTTTGTTTGGGATTGTGTTGGGAGAATCTTGGTATCCTGTACCAGTCCTCTTGTCATTGTTTATTCTGTCCTTCACTGCTGCACTGCTGCGTTGCAAAATTCTTTGGCAGCTTAGCATTCCATATTTTTTAGTTGATCTCTGGAGTGAGAGAAGCAAACTATTGTTCTTTACTAGCCTTTGGCCTGGTCTGAATTAAAATGGAGTTTATTAAGCTCTCTGGACTGGTTTGCGTTAGCAATTCTGGCACTAGAGGCCCTGATTAGCAGGGCTGGTGCTTTCCAAGGACTGTAGATTGTCATTAGGGAAACCAGAGGACAAAGGATTTGGGAAAAACTGTTCTCAGGTAGTTATTGTAGTCTTCTGCTTTGGGAAAATGTGACTCTCTCTCTCCTTCTTGGAGCTGATTGTCCAGCAGTTACCCAACTCCTTAGCAGTTGGACAGGTTGGTAATTTTACTTTTGCATGGCAAGCATACTGTAGGATAATATTCAGATTTTGGTCTTTATCATTTAAGAGGAGTTTTGAGCTTCATGTTGATAAAATTAAAAAAAAAAAGAATTAAAATTGCAGTTTTGCTTTGAGGAATTGAAGTTCTTGCAGTTTACTCTATAGGACATTAAAAACTCAGAATTTTGGCCTGCTTTTCCTTCCTGTTAGATACTGCAGATAGATACTGAAGTAACCTGCTGATACTTCTGTGACCTGCCACAGAATCTGTCCATCCTTCAAGGCATAAGAGAGGGGGGGATGTTCACACCATCTGTGCTGGCCGTCTAAGCGTTCTTCAACTCTCTCAGGAAGTGCCAGCTTATCTCTGCTGACTTTTTGGTGGGATTTAATTTCTTAACTGTGGTCCTCTGAACTGTGCCCAAGTGGGCAGCCAGAAGCACTGAGTTTGAGCGCTAATGTAGAACGCAGAGCCTAAAACCCCCCTCAAACCCAAAGGAACAATGAACTCTTCCATGCGCCTGTTCCTTTGAGCATTACTGGTTACTTTGTGTTTATGAGTTCCTCATTTCTTGCAGATACACATTTCTGAGCTGTCTATGTGAAGGTGGTTTGTTTTCTTTTGCCACAGGTACTTAATTGTGTCTGGCTCTTTTCCACTGATTGATAAAGCATGTTTTTAATTTAATTTTTCAGCACAAATGTTCTGGTGAGTGGCAGCCCATTTTGTTGCAGTGAGGAGGATGCCCGGTCAATTGTTCAGTCGGTAAGGGTATTTATTCCCCCCCACCCTCCCCCGCCTTTTTTTTTTTTTTTTAATGATTAATGGGCAAAGAAGATTTAGAGCTCCAAAACTGAAGTAAAGTAGCTAAACTGAAATGGTCCTTTAGCAAAAATTTAAGACATAAAGTAATAGGAAGAGCACGAAGGTTCTGGGGGAAGAGTAAGCTGTGTGATATAAAACTTTCAATGCAGTGATCCAATTGTGCTTTCTGGCAGGTTCATTACTGTTCTGGTGGGTTTTTTTGGGTTTTGTTCTTTTATTATTTTTCCTCCCTCTGCAGTGCTGTTTCTTCTGATCCTGAATAGCAAGATGGACTGCTATTTGTATCTAGTCTGCTGTCTTCTCTGTCTCCCTGTTGCCATGAGTTACCACCCAGCGTTAGAACTCATTGACTAGCTGACTGTAGTCCGTAATCACTAAACAGACCCTTTGTTTGTCTACTGGTATAATTAAATGCAATGCTGTAAGAGAGGGGGATGCTTTTTTGAATGTTTCTTGAAGATTGCCCATCATATTCTGAAAATTAACATAAAATTAAAACATGCAGGTTTCCTTGTTCAGGCAAGAAAAATTTCCTGCAGGTCTGATGCTTTCATGTGCAAATGTTAGCGGAGGAGAATTTTTTCCATTTCAAAATATGCTAGTTTGGACGCCGGAAATTAAGCAAAGTTAACAGAAATTACATGGAGAAAAATGCTCCCAAGTATTACTTTTTCTTTTTTAACATGTACTTTGACTGAGCCTGTGCTCACGATCACAGGAGCGCAGCAGGTATTTTGCACATGTGTGTGGCTGCCAGGGCACCCAGTGTTTTGCCTCAATAGCCACAGTAATTATGCAAGTTCAGGTGTCAAAGGACACGCCATCCACTGTCTGTGCGGTTAACATTCCAACAGCATTTCTAGTAAGAATGTGTTGTCCCGGGTGCTGTTTTGTCACCAGCAAATAAGACTGTCAGTTGTAAAGAAAAGTTGGTTTAAGTCATAAAGAAGTATCAAACAAAACTTTTTCTGATTGAGGTATCTTGCTTTCAGAACTTCTTTATCGTTGCATTTGTGAATGTTGATTAATGAGACTGTAAGTTTTAAATGAAAGAAAAACAAATTTTGGAATTCAAGTATGTTTTTAGACATGTCAATCACAGCTATAAGCAAATATTTACCTCCTCTATACTTTAACATTTACAATAACTTTTAGTGAGTTTTCAAATGCCACTAAAACTTCAAGTCCTGACATATTTGGATGGTGACAAACCTGCAAAAGAATATTTCCTTTTGCATTCTGTGCTCTTTGTATTTTGAAGCATGTAGGGTAAATAATTATTAAATCATCAGCATGCCTTATTTGGTCTCTTAAAAACAAATCAAATTTTTTCTTGTTCTGGGGGGAGGAAGTTTATAAAACCAGTTCATAAAATAGGTACTTTATATCAAACATATTACCTTTTTTATTATGACATCTTGCCTTCTTATCAAAAAATATGAATTCCTGGCTTTTTTGTGCCTCGCATTTTTTTCTTTAATTGATAATATTTCTGTGAAGTTGTCTCCACATACTCCATTGCATGGTTCTGTTTCAGTTCAGTCTAAGTCTTTAATTATGTCTTTGTAGGGTGCTGTCTCTTGGTACTTTCCAGACTGGGAAAATATGCAATACTCTATTAAATATGCTCATGCTGCATGCAATTGCCAATCTATGATAACTAAAAAAATTAAAATGGCCTTGAAATAGGAATAAGGGAACAGTTGAATTCTAAATATAAGTAGGGAAGCTGACTTGCACATTTTAAGCAGGTATCTTTTTGTCTAGTACACTACACTGCATGCTTTGGTTGTCAGACATTCATCTCTTTCACACTGAAGGGAAAGTACGTGAGTGTTGGCTGCAGAATTTTAATGGCTATGGTGATTTTTAAATGAAAGCTGCCTGTGTTTATCTGCATGGAGGTTTGTTTGGGGTTTTTGTTGGGTTTTTTATATTAAGTAAAAGAGATACATTTTCTTCTAGTTTATATCCGTCTGTTAACTCCTGGATAAAAACAAAATATGAAAGCTGAGAAAGAGATTTTGTATGCAAGTACAGTGAGAAACATCTCAGCTACTGCAAAATTTCTGAGCTATTTGTGCAGTGAGAACTGGTTCCCTACAATTCTGTTCCCAGGATCAGACTCCAATTGTGGCATTTTGGGTGGGTGCTAATTGCCTTAAATCAGATATATTTTCTCAAAAAAAACACCCCAAAACAAACAAAACCCAAAAGAAGACACCAAAACCCAAAAGGCAACACTCAGTATTGTTATGGAGCTGTTTTCATGGCAAGCAGGAGAACTGTAACTAAAAACCAAATGGAAAACATTCAGATCCTTATCAAATGTTTGCCAAATTGTGCACTAATCAGAATTTCATATAGATTTTCACTGGGTAATTCCCAAGTTAATACAGTTGATTTCAGAATTGTTTGACCTTTCAGTATTTTACTGATGGGGATTGGAATGGCTTGTCTGCATTGGGGAATTTCCACTCCGTTGAGTTAGTTTCCAGTACGTGTACTGCCATCCATATTGGTGGCAAACTAGGAATGATTCCACAGCAGGTAAAGTTGCCACGTTCAATCAATCCCAAAGAGACAGAAGGTAATCTACGTGTATAAGCACGTACACTGTTCACTTGAACCAGCCAAAAATGCACCAGACCCCTGCAACGACAAACCTCGCTGAATTTTAGCACTACATGGTGAAAATTTCTAGTGCTCTCCGGCCTCTGAAAGTTGTTTCATCTCCTTCTCAGCTTCACAGTCAGTATATGTTGAAAAATAAACCAGGAGGAATAGAACTTTGTAGATGAACCTGTTAGTTCTAAGATATACTGTTTATTTGAGGCTTTTAAGTGTTGCCATCTGTAAAACTGACCAGGACCGCCAAACCTTTGTTTAACATTAATCCTAAGAACTGCTTGCTCTCTGAAGAAGCTGTTGAGGACTTTGCAAGTTGGAAAATCTCCAAGACAATCTATATATAGTTAGTAGAGCAGTGTTTCTCAGACATGTCACATAATTATTCTCTTATAATAATGGAAAGTGAGCTAGGAAAGCTTTGCTAGATGATGTCTCTTTTGATAAAATGCAGAACAGTGTTTTGCAGGGGAAAATATTTGACTTTTTTCTGGTAATTTAAAAAAAATGTATAAACAAATTTGAATCTGTATGTTTACTGATGTGTTTTGAATAATTCAGATCTAATCAGGAAAGTCTTTTAATTGCCTTTCTCCCTACATGCTTTTTGTGAGGACATTTCCATTTGGGACTTACTAGAGGCAGAATTTTCTGTACAGTTTTCAGTTGTGAAACTAAAGATTGGTGGGTTTTTTTTAGTCTGGGGTTTATTTTTTAATAATTTTTTTGTTTTTTAAATGGTGTTCCAGTTGAAAGTGTTGTGTAGTGAAGAGACTCCTGGTTCCATGGGATGAGGTTTAGATCTGATCCTGGGGGAAATGTGCCAAGTCCTTGTCTCAAACCTTTTGAGCAATTATCCCAGAAGTGGCAGGCGCCTGCTTATACATGGTGACCACTGGTTCTCCCTGCCTCATGAGATAAAGCTTGGGTTTTACTGGAAAGAGAGGGGATAGTCTGGTGATGTCACCTGGAAGACCTGAGTTACGTTTGTCATAGTGGTGCATCCTTTCACACCAGTCACATAATCCCCCCATGCAGGTGAAGTGACTTCCTGAGTGAAGTGGGAAGAAGACTCTCTTTCCTCCTCAGAGGCTTCAACCTTCTCCTCAGTGTGTAGAGCCTTGTGCCTGCTCAGGGAATGTCACACCAGTGCAGCTCAGTCCAAGTGCTGTGGTGTGCTAAGGAAGGGCAGTGGAGGCTGGTTGCATCCTCATCATAAGGCTGATTGCTTCCAGACAGTGTTAAAACTGGCTTTAATTTTGTCCTTTAGGTTACAGGACAAGACATGCTGTGTAATACTGTGGTTGAATGGTGGCATATCCAGCTTTGAAATGTCAGACCTAAATTTTAAAACAAATTGTCACTTTCTGCAGAACTGAATCCTACTCTGTCAAAGTGTGATTGTAAAGGAGTATCACCATACATTTATTTTAAATTGTTTTCAAATGTGTAATGTAAATTTTGTGTGTATGTGTGTGTTCACATGCATATCTTATAGTGGAACGTGATAAATGGAAAGGCACTTTTACCCTTTTTTATGTAAAAAACAAATCCTCTTATCCTCAGTGATGATAGAGTAGGAAAATCCCCTTTAAGTTAGGTAAGGCGTTAATCTATCACTAATTATTTGTGTGCTTGTTTTGTCATTTATGAGCAACAAAGAAATTTGTAGAGTGGGAGTGAGAAATCTGTAAGGTGGAATATTGTCCTGTGGGAGCAACAGAAACTTCTTGTTTTGTTAATACCTCTTGCCTTGAGCAGTTTGGGTGCTACCTGCGAAACCTTAAATAAATACTGATACCTGGGTTTGGTTTGTTGTTTTTTTTTTTTAGGCACCAGTGCATGTGAATGGAGATTCTATTTCCCCAGAAGGTACCTTTTTTTTCCCAGATGCCATACTGTTTCTCTAACTGCTTGCTTTTAAAAATTGACATAATTGTCTTGTTGAAAAAGGTGGTTTTGTGTATGTGAAAATGATAATAGTTATATCCTGTCGCACCATATTGGCTGTCCCTTGTTATATAGAACATTACAGAAATTCATGGATAGTTTGTGGGAGATTCCTTTTGAATAAAAGTGTAGTCCACATAAAAAGATGAGAAGACAAAATTTTTCTGTCACTGATTATGCAAGGCAAATGCATGACATTTATCCTTCTTAAAGCGGAAGAGAGAGGTTGGTTTGCCTTAGTGTTTATCATACCTCACAGTAGCTAACTAATCAAATGAACAGCTCCTTTTCCCAAAATTGACATAACCATACCTACTTTTCAAATATAGGTTCTAAAGACAAAACTTTATCTTTTCACTATTATGACTGTTGTTCTTCTTAGCAGAACATGTGTTTTTCCTTAAGAAATAAGACTGCATCTTACATTTTCATTTTTAACTACTTTAAAAAAAATTTTTCTACTGGCAAGAGCTGTAGAGAAGACATACGATCTTTTTGAGATGGAGAGAATTATGAAAACACTAACTCAAACTTATTCATGAGCTGAGTTCCAAATTGTTTGCGAAGGAACATCTGTGTAGTCCGTGTCATGGGAAAACAAGTCGCATTCCATTTGCCTTTATTTGGCATGCCAATAAATAGCATTTATTTACCAAAGTATTACATCTCAGACCTCGGACAGGCAATTGAACATAATCTGCCTGGTCTTTGATGTTTTCCAGAGATGGTCACAACAGTGTTGTAACTTGTTGCAGGATTGTTTCAGCCAAACTAGCTGTTAAAGTGAACAGATATTATTTTGGGGCCCTGCTTTGCACAGGCTGGGCATAGAGCTCACCCAGAGGGACTGTTACAGGAGGGGAGGTAGCTGAAAGCGCAGAATGTTGCTTTTTCAAGTGTTTGTGTACAGCTGGTTGTATAGAACTCATGCCACTCTTGATGTACTTTTTTTTGTTGTTGTTTTAGTTGATTTCTGGTACTTTTGTCCCAAGTGATCGTCAAAGTCTTCCGAAGGTGCATCATCAAATCTTAAAGTCTTCCCTTTTTTTGAAGATGGGCAAGAGCACTAATTGTTGGATTCCCATTGAAACAACTTTTCAACTTGTGTAAACCTTCCCTCTTGTAAATAAACACTGCCATTATAATATGAATGTTTCCTTTCCATGTCTGTCTTTGTGTAGGGTGGAACAGAGGGAAGAGGAGGGCTTGCTGCTTTGTTTATTTCTGCGTCTCAGAACTCCAGAATTTCTTGTATCCACTCATGAAGTATAGTAATGAATGAGATGGGAAATAAGTTGTCTTCAACCTTGTTTTCCAGATTTTGGAATAATCCAGCCGTCGGGTGCATAGAAGACTGTTAATTTGTATTTTAGGGCTTTTCTGGTCACCCTGACTTTAATCCATTTCACGTAGACAGTAATCTTTATGTAATAGGCTTAGGAGTTAACCATGTTCTTTGATAGATGACTATTTCCTGAGCTGTACTTACTTTTGTGCCCAGTTGTCTCTGTGTGCTTCATAGTTATGAGCAGAGCATACTTGCTTTAAGAGAAACAAATACAACATCACTCCGAAGATTAATTCAACTAGGAAGGGCTAACGCCATAACAATTGAAGTAAGGATGCACGTGTGCTCTCTGTTCAGCATCCTGTTTTGATAACTTGTGTGTTTCATCATACAGGAAGGATTTTCCTTATGGAAAGCTTCCATTTTTAGAATTGTGTATGTTTTTGACAGTTAGTTATTCATTCAATGAGACAAGATTAATAAAATGTACAGAACTGAGCTTTGTACTTTCATGGTAAAAATATCTGCCATTTTTTTCCTACTGCAGGATTATATCTGGCTTGTCTGTACAACAGCGTTCGTTAAAGACAAAAAAAGCCAGCTGTTAAGTAGAAAGAGAGGAAATGATAATATAGACAGACAGCTTTATCCAGCTTGTTACTGAGACCAAAGGTAAGCACTGTCTGCTTTGTACAGTGGCGGAAACAAAAGGTTTCTGCTGACATAGGATGGAAGTGAAAGATAAAGAACTGAAAAAGTTATGCTGTGGCTTGCCATAGAGGACTGACTTTTCCTATACAAAGAATAAGTTTTTAGTAAGAAAGTTTTCACCTTTGGAAACGTTTCTTTGTTTTTAGGATACGATATCCCTGGTTTAGAGACTCCTCTGGTACATTGTGTAGTGTATAAACACCAGTCACTTCAGAGTGGTCAGTTTGGGCCGCAGCACTTGGGAGCAGATGAAGTTCTCCCGTCTGCACTGAGCCCTGCATTCTTTTATACACAAGAGTTCAGGTGTGGTATGAAAAATGCAGCATCAACCTCAGATATTAAGGACTACTTTCATTTTTTGTAGTCAAGGGATATGTTGCGTCCAAGGTACCTTTATAGTACTAATTTCCTGTATTTATTTTATACTTTAGAACTCTGTATGCATGCAGCATTATACCTACAGCTTTTCTTAAATAGAGTAAATGTTTCTCGAGTGCCTTTTTGTTCACACTGGGTCTCTTGGGATGAGTTTCCTCTGGTTAGAGGTGAGCTCTTGTAGCTTGCACAACAGCTGCTGCATTTGCCTGTGTGGCACTAAACCTCAGAGGCATTCTGTTTTGTGAAGTGCTTAAGGACAGCTGGACAATAAAGGGCGCTGTGTAAAATCAAATTATCTTCCCTATACAGTGGTCAGTCCTGTCCTTTTCTTCTTCCTTTTTTTTTTTTTTTTAAAGTTACTTCATTTTTACTTAAAATAATTTTAATAGTAATTTTCAATTTCTAAGTGTATTGCTGGAATGTGGTTATGAATGCAGAAGGAAAAATAAATTTCTAAATCAGATTAGGCTTTGTGCGAGAAAACAACAAATAGTACTTGGGAAAGCTGAAAATTGAAGTGATTGGAAATGCCTTATACTACCATAAATTTGAAAATGTTAAATTGTTTCTTACGTGTAGAGTATGTAAACAAATGATTGTCATGCTGAAAGTAAAGACAAGTGTTTATGTACATTTTCTGAAGATTTTTCCAAAGTGGGATATAAAGATGTGCTGTTACACATAGCCTTGCTGCTAGAACGTACCGCATGCTATTCCACTAATGTGGATCTCAGAAATTCAGTGTAATTAAATAGCTGTGGAGAGAATGTCTGCTTATAAGAGGACTGGAAGAATGGGACAGAGAAACTAGAATATTATTTATCACATCTCCTCAGGAAAAAGAAAAGCCTGTGCAATAAACACATTATTTTATTTTGGCTTTTTTGTATATGTATGTTTGTATTTATATGCCTATGTTGTTGTATTTTAAATTGGTTTCATTGCAGCGGGAAGCTAAGTGTAGCAATTGTTTTATGAAAATAACCTTTTCATATCTGATACTAATATCTTCTGTAAATAAGAACATGGAGAGAAGCATTATTTTTTTTTTCCTCCAGGAAATAAATCCATCTTAACTGTATTTTTTTCTGTGTTGAGCATATAACACACATATGTACTTATTTCTTTCAAGGATAACTTTTCATCTTGCTTTCCTCTTTCTGTGTGTTTTGGAGAGAAGGGAGAGGTTACCTTTTTCCTTCTCACTATTGTGACAGTGAAGGTTCTTTTTACTTATATAAGTAGCTGCTGCTCAAAATAGTACCTTTTACTGGCATGGAGTCCACACATCAATCACCCCAGTGGAAAGTGGAGTTTGAGTTTTACTTATGTGGAAATAATGTTCATTATTCTTTATAAAGTGTGGAAATAAAAGGACTGTGAAAAGAGTGTGATATTGTCCCTGTTAGGATGTTATTTTCATGCTGTTAATAACAATGGACATCCTCTGAAAACTCCCAAAAGAATAGAAGGTAATTCCAAAGTATGTCTGGGAGAACTGTTCATAGATGTTATGCAAGGAGATGTTATGCCTTCCTATAACTTGTCTGTGGTTACCATTTGTATTAACACTTTAGAGCTACAGCATAAAGCAGTCTTAAACTGACTGAAGTATTATTTCATGCTTCTCTTTGCTTTTACTGGGATTTAACCTTTTTAATGGCTTGTAGTTCGGTTCTAGTCCAGTGAAAATGCGAACCCAGTATTAAGTCAGTAGGGTGCAAAGGTTGTTTTCCTGCCCTTGCTGTGAAGTGTAAGATGATCTCCTGCCAGGTTTGACAACCTGGGTTCCACTCTCTGTGGACAGGAGTTCTGGGACTTAGAGAACAAATAGGAAAAAAGTTAATATAGAAAGAATATAAGGCAGATCTAGGAGGTCCAGGTGAATTAAAGCGAGAAATAGAACACTAAAGAGGAGTGACTGAAATGCTTTAAAACAGTTATGCCTAAATGTTAGAGCAATATGTAATAATGCTGATTATGTGTGACTGGAGAGGTCAATAGGATGCATTTGCCAAGGAAGAACACTTACCTACCATACAAAAGTTGGAATTGCATCCCCTAATTGCTCAGAAATAGTACTTTAATCTTTGGTCTCCCGAATGACTGAAAATAATGGAAAGCAGCAATTGTATTTATTGGTAAGTTGACTTTCTGGGAATCTCTTGGATTATACAGAGATGACGTGGGTGCTCAGCAGTGTTGACTGACTGATCCACACACAGTTGTTGATTTCTCACAGCTTAACTGTTACTGTTCTGTGCGGCAAGTGCTCTCTTCATGAAACTACAGATGGGGGCTAGATGGTAGACCAAAATAAGCCAAGCTCAGTGCAGTAGATTGTCACTTTGTGATTATTTGTCAGCTTTGGGTAATTAATTCTTTTATAATTCTTTGGCAGAAGTTTTTAAGGGTTCTGCTGCTATAGGCAGAAT